GAACAGAAAATACCGAACAGTTAACATAAAGTAAAACTGCACTGAAGCCCTACAAGGTAATGGAAAGACAGAATTGTAAGGGAAAAACAAGCAGAGCAGATGTTCTACAGATGTCCCACGAGAGAAAAGGAGTCACATATCCCTAGCACTGCTTACTTACATCCTTTATAGTTTTCCAGTACTAGATGCATATAAGGTAAGAATGGTTCACTCATTTGAAACACATTGACTAAGAGCTTGAAAATGTTTAGAAGGAAATCTAGGCAAAACTATCCAGGACATAGGAGTAGGCAAGGACTTCATGAACAAAACACCAAAAGCATTGGCAACAAAAGCCAAAATACACAAATGGGACCTAATGAAACTCCACAGCTTCTGCACGGCAAAAGAAACAGTCACTAGAGTGGATCGGCAACCAACAGAATGGGAAAAAATTTTTACAGTTTACCCATCTGACAAAGGGCTGATATCCAGAATTTACAAAGAACTCAAACGGATTTACAGGAAAAAAACAAACAAGCCCATTCAAAAGTGGGCAAAGGATATGAACAGACACTTTACGAAAGAAGACATATATGAGGCCAACAATCATATGAAAAAATGCTCATCGTCACTGGTCATCAGAGAGATGCAAATCAAAACCACATTGAGATACCATCTCATGCCAGTTAGAATGGCGATCATTAAAAAATCTGGAGACAACAGATGCTGGAGAGGATGTGGAGAAAAAGGAACACTTTTACACTGTTGGTGGGAGTGTAAATTAGTTCAACCATTGTGGAAGACAGTGTGGCGATTCCTCAAGGCCTTAGAAATAGAAATTCCATTTGACCCAGCAATCCCATTACTGGGTATATATCCAAAAGACTATAAATCGTTCTACTATAAGGACACATGTACACGAATGTTCATTGCAGCACTGTTTACAATAGCAAAGACCTGGAATCAACCAAAATGCCCATTGATGATAGACTGGATTGGAAAAATGTGGCACATATACACCATGGAATATTATGCAGCAATCAGAAATGATGAGTTCGTGTCGTTTGTAGGGACATGGATGAATCTGGAGAACGTCATCCTCAGCAAACTGACACAAGAACAGAAAATGAAACACCGCATATTCTCACTCATAGGCGGGTGATGAAAAATGAGAACACATGGACACAGAAAGGGGAGTACTAAACACTGGGGTCTATTGGGGGGAAAAGGGGAGGGCCAGTGGGAGGGGGAGGTGGGGAGGGATAGCCTGGGGAGAAATGCCAAATGTGGGTGAAGGGGAGAAGGAAAGAAAAGCACACTGCCATGTGTGTTCCTACGCAACTGTCTTGCATGCTCTGCTCATGTACCCCAAAACCTAAAATCCAATAAAAAATTAAAAAAAAAAAAGAAAATGTTTAATATATGTGATCGATCAAATTATAATAGAAAAAGATTCACTTTCTCTTTGTCACCTACAAGGAAGGAGTTGTATTTCCCTGCCCCTTGACTTTGGGCTTTGCCAAATATCTTACTTTGGTCAGTAAGAAGTCAACACATGACGTGAGCAGGGGTTTAAAATGTGTTTCTCTGGTTGGGCTTGCTCTTATACCTCTGCTATCACCATGAGGACTTAAGCCCACTAGTCCAAAGATTAGAGATATTTGGACTGCATGTGCATCACAGAGGTACCCAGGTGACTGCAGCCTATGTCGGTCAGTTCCCAGGTGACCCCCAGATGCACCAACAAAATAAATACTAATTGTTGTGTGCCACTGTAATGTTGTGGTTCTTACTCAGCAATAGCTAACTGATAAAATATACTGAGACCAGCTTGGTCGTAGAAGTCCCGACGCAGGCGGCACTGAAGGCATTAAGAAGCAGACACCCAGATAGAACAGCAAAGTGGGACTATTCAGTGACCAACAGCCTTCCGAGCTGAGAGCCTCAGGGGGCTGACAGCATCCTAGGCTGAGGGCCTGGAGCAGATTCTGACCCAGGTATTTATTCTTTCTGAACAGATGATTATTAACACAGGTGTTCTGTGTTTTCTCATAGAACCAAGATAAACTAGGTAGGCAGCTTACCACTGATCAAGGACAAACCAGAAAATATTCTCCATGAGGGAGCCACGAGTGCAGGGTCACATATGTCATGCTTAAAGAATTGTTTTAACCAGTATATGATATATACTGTTTTGCTACTTTTAGAATGCCCCAAGTAGTTTTCCACTCGGGGGTGGTGACTAAGTTTTCCTTGCCATTGTTCTTCTTAGCAATAGATTTTATCATATCCTCGGCATTTCTCAACAAAAATACACTAAGGAGTAGGTGCACCAGTTAAAGACTGTCCTTACTCTCAGGCTTCCCACAGACACTTAACACCTGCTAAAAACCAATTAACCAGGCCCTGTGCTAGGTGCAGAGGATGTAAATTAATAAAGCATTGCCTTTTCCTAGGGAGAATGCCCATTCTAGTAAGAAAGAGATCCCTGATCACATAATCATAAAATAATATAAGGGGATCACTGGAGAGTAGACTGAGAGTCTAACTTAGCCCAGAGACATTAGGGGTGGCTTCACAGAAGAGTAGTTTGAAATTGAAGTATGAAGAATGAGCAATCATTCACCAAGTAGAGAAGATAAAAAAACTCTAAGCAGGCAGATGCATACCAAAGTTTCATATAACAGCTGCAGCTGAAACTTGTCACTGTTCTCATTTAGACCGCAATTTAGAATGAACCTAAGTGCTGGAGTTTTTACTATACTAAGAATCACTCACTGAAAGCCAGGCATCATGGCATACCCCTGTAATCCCAACTACTCAGGAGGCTGAGGTGGGAGGATACTTTTACCGGGACTGCATTTACCTGGATTGGGAGGTGGGCGTCACAGGTGCAGTGGCTCATGCCTGTAATCTCAGCACTTTGGGAGTCCGAGACAGGTGGATCACCTAAGGTCAGGAGTTCGAGACCAGCCTGGCCAACATGGCAAAACTCCGTCTCTACTAAAAATACAAAAATTAGCTGGGCGCTGTGGCGGGCGCTTATAATCCCAGCTACTCGGAAGGCTGAATAAGGGAGAATTGCTTGAACCTGAGAGGCAGAGGCTGCAGTGACCTGAGATCATGACAATGCACTCTAGCCTGGGCGACAGAGTGAGACTCTGTATCAAAAGAAAAACATGGCGGTGAGGGTGTTGAGTCCACTCTTTCCAGCTCATGCAAGATCCCATTTCAGTGGTCACTAATAAAAAAAAAAAATCAGATGTTCACTTCATTACAGACACTTCCTATGATGATATGTGAGGTCATGCATTTTTTTTCTTCCTTTTTTTTGAGATGGAGTCTTGCTCTGTCTTCAGGCTGGAATGCAGTGGCGCAATCTCGGCTCACTGCAACCTCTGCCTCCTGGGTTCAAGCGATTCTTCCACCTCAGCCTTCCCAGTAGCTGGGACCACAGGTGCGCGCCACCACTCCCGGCTAATTTTTGTATTTTCAGTAGAGACAGGGTTTCACCATGTTGGCCAGGATGGTCTCGATCTCGTGACCATGTGATCTGCCCACCTAGGCCTCCAAAAGTGCTGGGATTACAGGTGTGAGCCACCACGCCCAGCCACATTTTCTTATCCTGAAATATCATTTGTAACAATAGCAAAACCAGATCATCACTGCTCTGGAAAGACTCTCAATGCATCAGCAAATACATCTTAATTTACTGATGATCTACTTAACTCATAACTTTAACATTACATTATAACAGCACGAAAAGACCACGTATGAAAAGGTGACTCAAGGCAACTGCAAACAAAGTAACCCTCAAAATACTAAAAGCACAATCTCAAGTAAAGTGGCAATAGCTGGGAAACTTCCAAATACAACTGTCAGAAATGGAAAAATGTCGGCCGGGCATGGTGGCTCACACCTGTAATCCCAGCATTTTGGGAGGCCCAGGCGGGTGAATCACTAGGTCAGGAGTTCAAGACCATCCTGGCCACCATGGAGAAACTCCGTCTGTACTAAAAATATAAAAATTGCCAGGTGTGGTGGCCTGCGCCTGTAGTCCCAGCTACTCAGGAGGCTAAGGCAGGAGAATCGCTTGAACCTGGGAGCTGGAGGTTGCAGTGAGCCGAGACGGCGCCACTGCACTCCAGCCTGGGCAACACAGCAAGACTCCATCTCAAAAAAAAAAAAAAAAAAAGTCCTTCTGAGTAAAATGTTCAGCAGAAAACTTCAGGCAGAGGCATAAAAGTGATGTAAAAACAATAACCAGACGTCATTTCAAGCAGTTTGCGAAGAATGTCAGTGATCATAAATCAGAACTTCGGTGAAGCTTGCACAGGAGTGAAGTTGTAAGTAATAGCAGGAACTTTGAAGTACTAGAAGATACCATCACTCAACAAACGAACACACTCTGACTAGCCCGTCTTGGACGCGGAGCATCTTGCTGATACCCTCAAACGACAAGATAACCATTTAACTTTCAGACCTCGGTGAGAGAAGGGGGCAGCTCTTCCTACTCCGTGCACCCTATGCTGCACGGAAGCAGCCGAGGGAACGCGTGCGGTGTCTCAGTCCCTGCACAGTCAACCACGCTGGGCAAAAGAGGGTGCAGATGAAGATGTGTAACGAGAACCAGCTGGAAGTTACGAATCCAGAAGAAAGCTGGGGAAGGAGGCAAAACAGAAGAAAAGAGCAGTGGGGAGCGGCGGGAGCATCAGAGACAGGTGAGAAAGGGAAAAGTCGCCCAGACGCAAATAAATATCTAGAAGGGATTCTTCTACTTCGATCTGAGTTTCCCAGGAGCTCAGCCTTGGCTGTCCCTCTCCTCACTCAACCTCACAAGATTCCTCCTCTTGGCGGGACGATTAGGTGAAGCGAGGGGGCGCTTCGCAGGTGGCTCCCGCAAACTGAGAAGGAACTCCCGGAGCTGCCAAGGAGAAAGAGCAGCCACCGGTCGCACGCCGGGTACCAGAGAGGTAAGTGACCGGAGGCACAGGTGAGGCGAGGAGGTTCTCCCTTACCTGCCGCAGGAGCTTCCACCGGGCGGCTCCCAGGGGCGCCGAGACTACGGGCCCCCGAGCGGTGCAGCCAATTGCCGGATCCTCCCCCGCTGCTCGCGCAGTCTCGCAGTCCCCAGTGTCGGCAACTCGCGACTCCATCTCACTGGAGCCTTCCATACCCGGAGGTGCCCCCGCCGCAGCTCGTCCCCTGCCAGGACCTGCCAACTTCTTCCCTGTCAGGACCTGTGACGCTCGCCCCACCCCACCCCCACTTCCATCGGCCCAGGCGTGCGAGCCCTCCCCGAATTCCGCATTTCCGGTACTCGCGTCTCCTTGGCAACCAGGGCAGCGGTGTCACGTCATTGCACCATTTTGCTGGTAGCCATCTTGAGTGAGGGCGGACCAGAGGGTGAGAGAGCTGTGGCAGGGCTACTGGAACGCTGTCCCTCACTGTTTTAGCCTTCCCTGCTTCGTCTCGAGCTCAGAAAACTAGCAAAGAGCCAAGAGTCTTTTATCTTTGGAGACTAAAGAACCCAGGAAGCTAAGAAAAAAATCCTTGACCACAACAAATATGGCGAAATCTGCCTGTTGCTAGTGCTAGATTGGGGTTACGTAGATCGGCGTGCTGCAAACCAGCTCTGGGCGGCTCTGGGTAGGTTGTAGTTCTGTGGGCTGCGGAGCGCAGACTTCGGCTGGACGTGCCTGCGGTGACACCTGCTCTATCTGAGAGCTTCAGGTTCTTCGGCCTGCCTTCACTGGTTTGTGTCCAGAGGCGGACTCATTCTCTCAATTTGCGTATGTATGGAGGGTGTGCTGGTCTCTTCCCTTCTCCCCTTCCTCCCCTAACCCAGCCACCCACCCCTCAGTTCCATGTCCTCGCTTTTTGACTCATGTCCCAGCACTGCGTGCGTGTCACCTGGTCCCTCTCCCTGTTGCATTCAAATCGCTCAACCCTGGGATGGAGAGTTGCACGGGGAAAACGAATAGGTTCTCCCGGGAACACCCATTTATCTACCCCACCCCCATCCTAGCCTTGCATACTGTCTTTAGGATGAAAGATGGATGGATAAAGGCTGTGGAGACACGGCGATGTAGGTCCTTTGCAGGCCTTTGTTATTCGGGTCCTTTTTTTTTTTTCTTTTTTACTAATGTCGGCTATTGCTCCCCTATCCCCAATCACCCATTATTTTGCTGCGACATGGAAAGGGATTAAGGGGGGCGGGGGCGTCGTAGCGAATCTGAGTTATGGTAAATTTGACGCAGCATTCTACCTTTGATACTGGGGGCATTTTGTGGAAGACGCATAATCACCTTCAGCAGTGTGCAACATACCTAGATTATTCCTGTCGTAAATAATAGCAGCTGCCATTTATTGAGTGGTCACTACGTGCCAGGCACTGTATAGTCTTAATATAAATTCTCATTTTATTTTTACAACAGCAACCCAGCAAGGTAAATGGTGTCATTTCATTTTTCCACATGAAGAAACTGAGGCCCAGAAACAGAGTTAAGTGGGGGGGGGGGCGCGCTAAGACCTCAACCCAGGTGTTTCTGACTCTCAACTGCTTATTAGCTCTCAAGGTTAATAAAAGCTACCTCCTGATAAACCGGAGATGGCCTCACATTGATTTGTACATCTTGCAGGGGTTTTTTGCTGTCTTTAATTAAAGTGCTAAATACCTTTTTAACGTTAAAAATCCATAGTTGATTTTGTCCAATATTTGGAGCCAAACCAAATTGGATTTTTTGCTCTACAACTTACTGTCCAAGTGACCTGGGACAGTTGCTTAAAACCTCCCACAGCCACAGTTTGGCAACCTGTAAAATGAGCATTGTAATAAATACTTTATCAAGTCCATGTAAAATTTAAGTTAGACAGAGAAGATAAAAGCACCTGGCACGTAGTCAACACTCAACAATAATTGTGGTCTTTCCTCCCCAGCTTTATTAAATAATTAGGCTTTTCTAGTTTATCCCCACATGTTCGTAATTATGTAATACCAAAGGCATTTTGCCTTTCACAGCCCTGAGTTCCAGAGATATCCCATTAAGTCTATATACTTATTTGCAAATTTTTATTTTGTTTTTTTTTTTCTTGTTTTTTGTTTTAGTTTGCCCCTTTGTGTGCCAGAATCAGTGCTGCATAGTTTGAGCCTGATAGGACTGACTTTACAAATGAGACATTTAAGTCACATCTGCCAAGAAGTATGATTTGAATGAAACTTTAACTTATACAAGTTTTTAGATTTAGTTAGCCTAAGTTATCAGCTGTCTGAAGTTATTCATAACCCAAGCCGGGCATGGCCCTGAAATGGAGGAATGAGAACTGCTGATCTTAGATACTCTGAGAACCCACTACTCTGTAATCATAACTATAAAATCATTTGTGTGCTGCCAGCCCCAAAGGGAGCATAAACCAGGGACTTTGATATCATGCAGCAGAAGACCAAATTATTTCTCCAAGTTTTGAAGTATAGTATTCCTCACCTGGGAAAATGCATGCAGAAACAGCCTTTGAATCACTGTAACTTCGCTGATCATTATTACAATAGAATAAAATTGAAAAAATACCACCTAACCAAGTATCTTCAGAATAAACCCAAGATATCAGAGTTAGCAAGAAACATCCCAAGTCGGAGCTTCTCATGTAAGGTATGGACTGTTTAAGTTAACCTATTTGTAGGTCATTAAGATTAATTTTAGTTTAAAAATAAAGAATGGGTACAATGTCAGAGCTACTAATTTTCTCAGTAATTCTAACTTGATTTTTCAAATTTTCAAGTCTCAATTCTCTCTTGTCAAATATAAGTATAAAAAGAGTATATGCAAGCAGATACCTGAAGGCAAGCAGATCACCTGAAGCCAGGAGTTCGAGACCAGCCTGGGCCAACATGGCATGGTGAAACCCCATCTCTACTAAAAATACAGAAATTAGCCAGGCTTTTTGGCACCGCCTGTAATCCCAGCTACTTGGGAGGCCGAGGGAGGAGAAGCTCTTGAACCCAGGAGGCAGAGGTTGCAGTGGGTTGAGATCATGCCACTGCACTCCAGCCCGGGCAACAGAGGGAGACTCCGTCAAAAAAAAAAAAAAAAAAAGATATATTTATAAGGCTCTAATACAATATATAAAAATATAGGTTTTTAAAAATGTTTCACCTCAGGACTTCCTTAGTATGCCTGCCAGTACATTTCAAAGTATAATTCAGCCTTCTAAAATTCCTAGAATACTAAATTACAGCTCTTAATAAAATATAATATGCTAATAACAATTGCTTTATGAATCTCGAATCAGTAAACTTCAGTAAAGGCTATGAACTGTGTTTTATTTCTCTGTAAAAAAATGAAAAAGAGTCTTGCGTTTTTAACCACTTGAGTCATTCGGAAAGACACTGTCAGAGTATTGCACTTCTGGCAAAACCCCAAGCTGTGGGCATGAATCAACCTTGAGAACCTGATTGCCCTTATGTAGAGAGTGACCACATATCCACTTTTGCCTGGGTCAGCCCCAGTCTACACCTGTTGTCCCTGTGTACTTATTAATAGTGTCCCCTTTCCTCTCAGAAGTGTCCTGGTTAGGATGGTAAATTATATGGTCATCCTACTTACTTGAAATTAAATTGTCTATCTGTGCTGCTGCTGCTGCTTTGACATCCCTCTCCTACCTTTTACTTCTTAGGTTCCTTAATGACATTTGGGGGTGGTATTCTTGCAACACTTTCACATATTTATGATCTTAATATTTTATTTTTTATTTTAATATTTTTCCGGTTTTGTTGCTTACTGATTTTTCTTTTAGTCTGTTTTGGCTTTCTACTTTCTTTGGGTAAAATATATGGTCACAAAGTTTTCCACTTTATCCATTTTAAAGTATGCAATTTAGGGGCTTAGCATGATGTTTTCAGTTCATCTGTGTTGAAGCATGTGTCATAACTTCATTTCTTTTTAAAGCTGAATAATATTCTATTGTATGTATAAGCCACATTTTGTTTATCCATTCTTCTATTGATGGACACTTGGGCAGAGTCTTCTTATTTTGGAAAGTATCTTTTTAATCTAATTTTACTCTTTCTAATTTTTGTTCAGTTTTTGTCCTTAGCTGATACCTATTTGGGTGTTGTGTGTGTGTTTCTTTTGCTTTTAACTTTTTATATGTTAGCCTCCTAGTCTTCCTAGACTTTTACTCTTTATGTTTTAGTCTTTGAAATTGTTTTCCTTTTCATAGTGTCTTGCTTTAGTTTAGCACTTCAACTCTTTATTTACTCATTTAGAAATTCTTTATATCTTCGATTTATTTCATTTTTGTGTTTTTTGTACCTCTTTTCTACTTTAGAAAGATAAAGTTTTAAGTTTCACCTATCGAACTAAATTTTGGACGTTTAGGTCATTTTATTTTGCATTGTATTTAGAACATTTTGTCATCTCATACTTTGTCTTAACTCTTAGTTTATAAATAGTAGGCAGGAATTACCATGAGGGTAACAGCTGTGATATTAGCTCACATTCTAAACAGAAGATTGACTATTTGTTGCCCTCCATTTGTCCCTGAAGCAACTTTTGAGTTCTCATTTATAGATTCCCACTGGAAATTTATAGATTTCCATAAATTTCCAGGGATTTCCATAGATTTCCAGGGATACCCTGTTTTTTAAAAATAAAAATAAAAAATAGGAATTTCCAGTGGGAATCTATACATCTAAAAATCTTCTCTTTTATAGATTCCCCCTGGAAACTTTAACCTGACTCAGTGACTCCAAGTATTAATAGCTCTTGCAGCAATTCCTTTACCTGAGAAAGCAATCCTGCTTTCACATGTCATGTATCAGTCATTCCCTCTATGAGAAATGATGTAATATAAAAGCCATGGTCTTCATCTTTTTTGATGACTGAGACCTGGGGAAGCTTTAGAAAGACACTCCTGCAACTGTGAAAACACCTGTAGACAAGAATGCACATTTTCTTTCTTCAGCAAGCATCCACTGAGTTCCAACTGTGTCCACTTTTATAGGGTGCAATAAAGTAGAAAAAGTAGTTAATGCTTTTAGGTAAATTAAAATATATCTGCTTAAAATAAAGACCTATTACCTATATAAGTTAACTGAGAAACAAAGTAGCATGTGTAATGGGGATGCTAGAAGGCCAAAGATCTAACCACAATTGGTGTGACTGAACTCATCAGGACTCCTGATTTTCCTGACTGAAAAAGACAGGGAGTTCTGACGAGGGACAGTGGCTCATGCCTGTAATCCCAGAACTTTGGGAGGCCAGGGCGAGCAGATCACTGAGCTCAGGAATTTGAGACCAGCCTTGGCAACATGG